TTATTTCAATCTTCTTAATATTCACATATTTTATCTAGTTACTGAAATTGTATAGAAAAAGATAAAAGTTAGGTTAAGATTTTTAATTTTTCCTAGAAAACATTAGGTTACCCGCATTATTTTGGAAATTTATTTCACAAATTGGGTACTTTTAAGTAATAATATATGCTCTTAAAATTTGGCAAAGTATTTAAGAATAAAATACAAAAAGAAGTTTTTACTTGTAAAGAAATAAAATTGGAAATGTATTCCTTACCTGCGACTAACTTTATCCTGACAATCTGGATCAGCACAAGGACGAATTCGCACCATAATTATATATATATATGTTTAAAGCTTTAAAAATTATCTTCGAAAAACTAACCTAATAAAACAAATCAACCATTACCATTATTGCCATTAATAGCGTTTTTTTAGCTGTTGAAAGTTTTAAATAACAACTTGCGTACACTTGCGTTACTCTGAACCTGCTCTGAATACACTCTGAATCTGCTCGACGAATGCAACGAGCAAACTTTGTGTAAGTAGCGCCATCTATGGGTGGTGCACAGTACTACAACACGAGTAAGCATTTCCCTATTAAAGATCCCCTAGCCTGTTAGAAACTACAAACGCATAACCCGGACAGTATAGAGCGTATTATTTTCGTGGAGCTAATCTATTTACTGAATTACTATGATATTGCTGTTGGTAAAAAAAAAAATAAAATTATTTTACAGTACCTAGTCATAAACTATTTTCAAGATTTTTAACTGTTACCAATGGTAACAGTGGTTACATGGACGCTTCGCCACTGATAACTTGTTCTAATAATTTCTTGAAAAGAGTCAGTTCAAGGTAGTTTTACATGAAAATAAATATTTAGTTATCAATAAGTTGTACTACGATTGAATGTATATGTGACCATTGCAAGAAAACATTACCAAAAATATACTTCTGCAAACGATCTGGAAATACAAATGTTCGAGGCACCAACCTCTACTTGTCAACAAATGAACATCCCTATACAGCACTCCACCGTCACGAAATCTGGAAATACCAAAAGAAAAATTTAAAGGTCAAATTCCATAGTCAAGAAGAAGTAATCGAATGCATTGTCAATAACCCAAGAACTTGCTGAGGTTCAAATCCTTCGCTGACTCTCTGGATTTGAAACTTCGAGGGGAGGAAATATGTCACCATTCAACCCTAGAATTCTAAGAATAACGCTGATACCTTAGAAACTCAGTTATGTGCCGTATCGGATTACAACACTTGTTCGGTTGTTTTATGATAATGTAAAACCAGATTATTGTTAGCTTTTATGCGATTAACATCGTAGCAATATTTTTTTGTAATTTAAAAGTAAAATAAATTTTTTAAAAAAGACTTTCGGCATTGTGGAGAATTATTTTGCGGATTTTTAATAAAAAAATGTCTTAAAATTCAACGTTGCGATGTATGTACACAATATGCCTTAACACACGAAGACTTAGATATAAGCTCCATGTATTGTTATTATAAAGCATACAAAAAAAGCAAATAAAGATATTTTTGGCAATTTAAAAATGTCAAATAATAGTTTTGTATGTTTAATAACAAAAATTGAAATAATTTTTCATCACAATTTTGAATTATTTATCACTAAATCCGGCGTTTGTAATTTTTTTTTAGATTTAATTAATTCCGGATTACATTTGACGCTCCTTGTCACCGATTTCCATAAATATATGTTATTAAGGGTCGATTCCACCGTTGTGTTAAACGGAGATTAAAATTACATTGTTAATGTAAAAATGTAATTTTAAACTTCGTTTAACACAACGGTGGAATCGGTCCTAAGTTATATTTAAGGCTGCTCATATATTTCACTTTAAAAATATTAATAAAAATTTTAAGACCATCAATAAAAACAAGCTAATTATTTGGCGCAATCTGTGAAGCTTTTTTGTTTTAATACGGTCCTGCCTATCAATACCTTATTTTATTACAAAATTTTTGAATACGCTTTAATCCGACCCTGACTAAGACCCCCGAATGGCGTCGTCAAGGTCAAATTTTCTTAGTTTAATATTTGTATGCGATCAGCGGAGAGTGGGCCTGCCGATTGTTTTTTATGCCGTGTTACGGGTACAACAAGGTATGCAAATGGCATGAAAGTAGATGGGAAAAACCAAAAAGCAAACTAAAACACAGCCTCTTTATGTGACCCAATTTCTTATGTCATTAGTGTCAATTTTATTTTGTCAAGTTGGTTACACTTCCCTTGCATAGAAGTATCAAAATATTTTGCGAAGGCTACCGCCGCGATCCAACTCCCTTAATCTAAGTTGAAAGGTAACGTGCCGATGGATAAATTGTTGCAGGAGTACATGTGGCAACGTTTCCCTATGGGTACAGTAACATATGTGGAAACAAAGACCAATGAAAGAAGTGAGAAATATTTGTAATAAGAACCTTATTGTGAAAAATATTGGGAATACTCCAACATTTACAACAAGGACAAGAAGTTGGGTATTAAATATCATTTTAAGTACTCTGAGCATTAAATATCTAGTTACAAACTGGTGAGTAACGAGTGAACCATCCCTATCTAATCACAATATAATTGTGTTTAAGTTAGAAAGCGACACGGTTGAGACGATCCTTAGTAGGAATCCTAGAAAAACAGACTGGGACAAATACAAGATCACTCTAAAATAAAATTTAGAACTTATCCAGACTAACCAGGGGCCCGGACACCCACTAGCTCTGGAAAGCGATCTAGAAAACTGAATGAGGCATTACTTGAGGCATATAAATCAAGCTGTCCCATTTAACCAAATAGAACTAGTAGGGACGTTCCTTCGAGGAACATTCATCCGTCAAACTTAAAATCCAAAGTGCGGAAACTACACAAAGGCAGTTACCACCTACAATAGAAATAAAAAAAAAACTAAACGTAACAGCTCCAAGAAAGTTTACGAGGAGATTAATTCTACACTTGCGACAGCAAGACTGCACAAGGCTCTGAAAAAGGGAGAGTGGATACAGTTATGGCTCTGAAGGAACCAAATGAAACAATCACGAAAAGTGAGGAGAAAACAGATCACCTCTTACTCGAAACTCACTTTTCTGTGATCACACCTTTTTTTAATAAGGGACACGAGTAAGGTACGCAGTTAAAGTATCCAGGAATATTTCCTGCCCTGCTTCAGCGGGCACAAGAGGAATTACTAATCACACATAATCCGGAGCAGTCTGGACCTGGGATATATACCAGAATCATGGAGAGGGATCAGAATCACCTTTATTCTAAAAGTAGGGAATAAGGATACCAGACATCCTAAATCCTTCCGACCAATCAGCATCACATCTTTGTATTAGAAACAATGGAGAAGGCTGTTGATAATTACATCAGAACAAAAATCCTGGAAATGGTGAAACTCCAGCAAAGCCATCACGCGTACCGGGCAGGAAGATCTACAGAAACCGCTCTGGTACAGCTGAATAATGAAATCCAGGATGCATTGACAAACAAAGAAATGGTCTTGTGGGCCTTCTAAGACATAAAAAGAGCATTCAACAACACGCCACACGAATCTGCTAAAGGAGCACTCGCATACAGAGGAGTATATAGCACCACATACAGATGGGTGGCTCAGCTGCTATCTACGAGAACTGCAGAGATAAATAGGACAGGACACCATCTTCATCTGCACAAGCAGAGAATGTTTAAAAGAAGGCGTTCTATCCCCACTAAAGTAAAGCCTAACTTCTATGTAGATTGACTGACCTCGGCTACTCTGTCAAGCTTATGCCGACGACATAGTCATATTTGGAAGTTTGGAAATATCCTGTGTGATATAGTCCAAAACAAACAAGAATACACCAAAATATGGTGCGGGACTTAGTATAAACCCCACTAAAACAACACTACAGTAGCCTTTTCAAGAAAAAGGAATATCAATCTTATAAACGTAAAATTAGACGGAATAGATATAGAATGATAAAAAGAAGTAAAATATTTAGGCCTAAACCTGGACAACAAACTTCTCTGAAATATAGATGAGAAGAAAGTAGTAAATAAGGTCATAAAAGCCCTAATAGTATGCAGAAACGTTGTGGGTAAAAGAAGAGGATGTAACCCAATCACATTACGATGGATGTATACAACAGTAGTGAGACCAACCATCACTTATGGCGCTGTAGCCTAGAGTAACAGAACTAGTTTAGCTACTACCGGAGATAATATCTTAAAAATACAAAGACTAGCCTTTGTTTGCATCATCGACAGGTGCAATGAGAACCTGTCCTACATCCGCATTGTAGACGATTGTAAACCTTACCCCTCTACATTTATACAAAAAAGGACAAGATATATAATGAAGTAATCAGATGAAAGTCTAATAGCTTCATAACTGAAGATACTTGGTATATACCCCAGGATGAAATGATAAAGTAGTCTTATGGAAAACTTAAAAACCAGAGAGCTGGGCTGCAAGAAAGAATTGAGTCAAGTATCCATCGTCCTTGAGACCGAAAGACACGCCATTTAGTGGTATAAGGTTGGTTCCAAAACCGTAAAAGGAACTGAAATAGAAGGGTATGGGTCTAGAACTAGGCACACTGAAAATTTGGGTAAATATCCAAACATCTTCCAGGCGAAAATTCACGCCATTGAGAAGTGTATCCGATTCAACATCGAGAGAAACTATCGCAGACAAGAGATTATTTTCATATCCGATAGCCAAGTAGATTTAATTATAGGGCATTTTTTAATTTTCAAATTTTACTTTTCTATTTTTTATTAAAAAAATAGTGTTAAATGTTGTTCAGAGGTTTGGCAACACTCTGTATATATCTTGCCTGCATAGTTAACTTAGGAAAAAAAATGTATCCAAAAATTATTTTGTTTTTTTTTTTATTTAATTCTACTCAAACCAACTACATTATCTGGATTCAGTCATAAGTGAACGCATACTTTTCTCATTTAATAGGTCACCTGTAAACAAAGAAGGTGAAGGTGAAATAAACAAGAATCTATATTTCTCAATAAAATGTATTTTGTTCTATAATTTTTATATTATCATTGAAAATGTCATTTCACTCTCCTGGCTCACCTAAAAATAAAAAATGTATAAGAAATTGAAAAAAAATATATATATAAAAGAGTTTTACAAATTGGTATATTCATTCGAGATTAATTTGAATTAAAGCACTGAGCTCTTATGTAATAAGCACAAAAATGGTCTGGAGATGCCTAGAAAACTGAATGAGCTAGGCGAGGAAAGTACAGTTACTGTCACTTGGGTCCTGGGACATAACAGGGTAAAGGGTAAGAAGATTACAAATAGTCTCGCAATGAAGATAGTGAGTGAAGATTCTGTGAGTAGGAGAATAAAACCTTTATTCACATTCTGACTGAATGTGTAGCACTCCAGAATCCAAGAGCATACCAAATAGAAGAGGTAGATCTACCTAACTTGAAGCCACTACAAATCCTACACTTCCTTAAGAAGATTGGAAGGGTCGTTATAGGCATCGAGACTATTTCCTTGATGCATTAGCTACAGAAGGATGGTACACAATAGAGCTTTTAAGACTCAATGCATTAATACCCAACACAACATAATTTGGAGATGCAAAATAAATTACATTTTTTACCAATAGTCCCCCTCATCTGATTGCAAAAAGTCGTATTTACCTTTTTATCAAAGGTAATAGGTACCACGAGTCCCCCAAATATGTATTAGATAAAATTTAAAAGATTATTTTTTAAATCATTTTGTATGAAAACGATACAATAAACAGTTTCTTGAATAAGATTAAATAGTGCCGCGTTAGCATTAAGATTTAACTTATAGGAGCAATATGCATGAAGCTTTATAGACTCCAAGCCCATCGAGAATATTTATGGGGTCATTGGACCCAGCATGAATTACTTATAAATCAATACTCTCATGTGTAACAACAATTTTAGAAACAAGCCCGTCAATTCTTGTTGGTACAGATTAGTACATACATAAGCTAAACCTACCACCAGAGGGGGTAGTTTTCGGCAAAATATTTTTGTATGGCATTTCTAAAGTAAGTAGGTAATGGAAAAATAATGACCTAAGACCTAATGCGATAACACTTTTAGTGGCTGACATTATAGAAATTTGCAATATCTGTCTATTATTTCAATAATAAACTAAAACTAATTACACTTCTGTAGGGCGTCCCTTGATTCCTACTCCTGGGATTTTATTATCGTTCGTCCAACAGAGTATTATGGTTATTTTTATGCAGAATTTTTTTGAATTTAATAATATTTTTTTAGGTTTAAGACATTTTCATAGAAAAACAGTTCATGGAGAAACGACAAGGTTGCAATTATGGCGAAAAAAACGTGATACGACATAATTAGCATTAAAATGAAAATTAGGCATTCATATTTCTTTATTCCAAAATTGACTAACATAAAGCTCGTGGAATACGCTTAATGAAGATGATTCACTGATTCTCTAAAGTATAGTCAGAAACTTACCTTTCAGCCCAATCATTCCTGCTTCTCCATAGTCTCCTCTCCTTCCTGCTATACCGGGTAAGCCTGGAGAGCCTGGCTCACCAGTTTCTCCTTTCCGTCCTGGTAATCCTGGAGGTCCTACCAATATACCTTTTTGACCTAATGATTAATCTTTTTTATTCTATTATAAATACAAGTTTATGAGTGGGGAAGGGTGGGCTACCATGAGACAAACGTGATAATTTTGGAATTAAGCACTAATTAAAGATCTCCGTCCTGTAATTTTTCACAACTTGTTGTAAACAGCGTGTTTTTATGTTAGGTTTGTATCGGGTAAAGTTGCTTTTAAAATCTGGTGGGTTTTTACTGAATTCTGGCATAATATAAATATTGTCGTGCGAGCCGTTTTCATCTAGTGCGGTCCTGCTCAGTTCCGTTATCTATAGTCGATGTGGAGACGTTCAGGCACCTTCATGATATTTCTGGAAGATTACCGAATGCAGCGAAGACGGCAATACTCTTGCATTATATATCCCATATAGCACACGACATCTGAAAGACGTCTTTTTTGTGTCTTGGTTTGGTTTCAATGTCCTAGGACGTAATTAAGCCATAATTCAGACGTATTAATGTGAGAGCTCAAAGACGTTTTTAAGACGTCTTGCCAAATCTATGTAATAATGTGAAAACCTTCATAGTGAAAACTTAAAGATGTCTTAACATGTCTTTCAGTCGGACGGAAACTTAAATAATTCAAATCTAAAAGAAGAATCAAATGAAGTGAAGTTTGTCGTTTAACTTAACACTACATTCAAGCCCAATTACATAATTTGATTTTCTTTTACTATACGGAGAATGGTCGCACTGCGCAGCTTTCTGAGTGCCTTTTAAAAGGAGATAGAAAACTCCGCCATTTTGAACCCTTATTACGTGTTGCCTACATCTTGGCGCAATATTTTTAATAGGTACGTTTTAATCATCCGCTTCTGCTTCGGAATTGTCGGTTTTCTTGTTTTAATCTGACAGGTTAAAACGACTAAACCGACAATTCCGGAAGCAGAAGCAGATGATTAAACCGCACCTGATATTTTGCTTGCTGCTGTCAGTGTCAGTGAATATTATTTTTGAAGTCACAGTTTATTGCTAAAGAATCAGTTAGCTCACTCGGACCAGTTGAAAGTTCCAAAATAACATCCACTCCAGGGATACAAATTCAGGATACGCGGAAGTCTGCTGTTTTATTATAGGTGGTTGTCATATATTGTATTATCCGAGTTGCACAGTGTATAAACTGAAACATTGAGATCAAAAGTGCCGACGCAGAGTGAGCGATCTGATTCTTTAGCTGTAAACTGTGTCACAGGGTTCAAAATGGCCACGATCTATGTTGGGCGTGTCGGACCTCTCTCTTGCCTCGTATACCCAAGCCAAAAATTTCTATGGCCCAAGTTTATTGTGGATTATTGTTTATTTTATTGCGTAGGTACGCGCTTATAGCCGCCAAAAGTGTCATTGGGCTGTTTTGTGTTTGTGTTTAGTCTCTTTTTACTTAAATAATATGGGACTAACTTCTGCAAAGTATAACTTGTGACTATAATGCTCTTACTTAAATTTCTTTTTAAGAGCGACTATACAAAGGCAACTGCAAATCAAAAAGAAAGAGAAAAATCAATCCAGTTATGGCTAAAGAGGAGTGATCGAATGCGCTACAAAGAAAATAACTCTTAGTGGCCTGTGATTAATAGATATTTTATCAATAAATATTTTTAATTTTATTTTTTGCATTCTTTATAACCTGCAAGGCTATTCTACTAATTTTAATAACCAAGATGCACGATGGGACCCATTTTTAAATTCTTTTATATTATTATAGACAGGTTATAGAATTAGTAGAATAAAAATGATAAATGTTTTATTTATGGCTTATTTAAGTCTAACCAGACCATTATAAGCCATTAATAAGACATCTTAAAGACGTATAATTTATGGCTTCACAAGACCATTATAAGCTTTTAATAAGTCTTATTTATGGCTTATTTAAAGCTTCACAAGACCATTATAAGCCATTAATAAGACGTCTTAAAGACGTCTTATTTATGGCTTATTTGAGGCTTCACATGACCATTATAAGCTATTAATAAGTTGTTTTAAAGACGTCTTATTTATGGCTTATTTAAGGCTTTACAAGATTATTATAAGCTATTAATAAGTCGTCTTAAAGACGTCTAATTTATGGATTATTTAAGGATTCACAAGACCATTATAAGCTATTAGTAAGTCCTCTTAAAGACGTCTTATTTATGGCTAATTTTAAGCTCTAGAGACCAAAATAAGCCATTATTAAGACGTCTTAAAGACGTCCCCTTTTGTAACATCAGACGTCTTAAAGACGTTTCATATGTCTTATGCTAGACGTCTTTAAGACGACTTTGTGCTATCTGGGACCTCGTACCTATGAGAACTAGTGCGATGCGCAGTGTTTTTATATAAATATACGAATTTTACCATTTGAGAAGTGTATTCAGTTTAATATCGAGATAAACTCTCGTAGGCAAGAGATTATCATCATGTCCGATAGCCAAGAAGCCATCGAAACGCTAAGCTCTGGCGTAATCGGCTCGAAAATGGTTTGGAGATTCCTAGAAAAACTGAATGAGCTAGGCGAAGAAAATACAGTTCCCCTTACTTGGGTCCCGGGACTAAACGAAGTAAAAGGTAACGAGATTGCAGATAGTCTCGCAAAGGCAGAGGCTCAAACACCCTTTGTGCGACCTGAGCTGCTCTGCGGTATCAGCAGTAAAACAATATTAGGAGAGATTAAAAAAGAATTTAGCAGTAGAAGAACCGATTATTAGAACAATCTTTTGGGGCTGAAACAGGCTAAGATACTTCAGGGTGAAAATATAACCAGGAAAGATCGGAAGCCTATATCTACCAGAGCAAGAAAAGGGTCCGCATTGTAACAGGGATCCTTACCAGGCATTGTCGACTCAAAGGACACCTTAGTAATCTGAGAGTAGTAGTGAGTGCAGATTCTGTAAGGAGGAGGATGAAACGTTTCTGACCGAATCTGTAGCACTCCAGAATCAAAAGACACTAAGTATACCTAGGAGCATATCAAATAGAAGAGGGAGTTTTACCTAATTTGAAGCCACTCCAAATCATACACTTCCTTGAGAAGATAGGATTAAACGGGTCGTTATAGGCATCAAGATATTTCCTTGCTGAAGTAGCGACAGAAAGGGGTACAATAGATATTTTATATCGTAGTGTATTAACATAACGGTAACAAACGGTATTGTCTACTAATATGTGCATAGACATAAAAAAGCTCAACCTTCATACTATAACGTAAGTCTGGCGGTTGCTGGCTTTTAGTCTATTAAGAGTGGCAGCATTATAAAAAAAATATAGTCTACTTTCACATAGTCGGAGTGTGGCTGGAGTGAATAAAAATAAAATAAACTTTATGAGAAATGCATTGAATTTTAAGAACTTTGACATTTAAAGTAGATAAAGTAGCATTCTAAAAATCAGTAGAGTTCTACGTTAAAAGAAATTATCCAAGAAAATCAAAACCGAAAGTCGGCATACCATAATAGATACAACTTTCAGAAATAGCAATATTGAAACCCAGTTATCACGAATAACAAAAAAAATTCTTTAAAAATAAGATATATTTATTATACGAGCAAACTTCTACTCAGTGAAGAGTTTCCTTGTAATGCAGCGCCCTCTAACTTTTATAAATCTCAAAAAAATATAATATAACATACCTGCTACTACTGTAGAACAAATTTTCTCTATTTGTTGTTTTTGTTCATCCGTGAAACTGTGGGCTTCCTAAAATAAATATTTTTGACATAATATATTTGGAATTTGTAATATCTTATGAAATTTATTAAAAAAAATTTTTACCCAGATGAGGCAACCAAGCAAAAATGTTAAAAATATAAGTGCAGTCTTCATCTTTAATTAATTATTATAAGATAATTACAATGTTTTCCAAATTTTATAAACTAGAAATTTTTATCAGTTTTCATAAATATTTTTGATCCTGAAATCAATATTGATAACCCTTTACTAATTAATTTGTTTTTGTTTAAATGTACGTTCCTTTCACACGAATTTATAGGGAATATATTATATAAGGGGCCGATGGTACGAGACAGGAACAATGTTAAAGTTCGCTAAAAAACCAGAACAAAAATTAAGTTATATAGGATGATTCATAACTATTGGGACTTAGACTAAGGGCAGGTTATTTGGACCAAAATATGGCGATAGGGCCAAATATACTTCAATATTGCTGTGGAATAAGACACAGGGCGTTAAATTATCGTGTTTAAACAAAAGTACCAATATTACGTAGAAATTATGTTTACATCATAATTTCTAATCAAAAGCACTAAAAAGTTTCGTCAAAAAAAGCTACCACTTAATTTCATCATCAGGAATCATTCACGTGGCGCCTGTATCTGATTCCACAGCAATATTTTATGGAGGTATATTTGGTCCTATCGTTATATTTTGGTCCAAATAACCTGCCCGTAGCCTATGTCCCAATAGTTATGAATCACTCTCTATAAATCGCTATATTACTTCTCAAAAACTTCTCTTTAAAATCTATACTCTATTTCACCCGAATAAACCAATATTTAAAACAATTTCTACTCTGAGCGAGGTAGGTACCACCGTAGCAAGCAATTTAAATGCTTCTTTAGGCGACGAAAAAAGCTCGCCACACATTTGATTTTTGATGTGTCGGAATAAAAAGAAGCTATTGGGAGATAAATCTGGCAAATATGTGCAATAAGTCATTAATTGAGGTTGTTATTGGTCAAAAACTTGACAGGTCGTGTGAGCGCTCGCCCATTATGTCATTATGAAGAATCCGCAGAACAAAGTAATGTATGTCACTCAGCATTAACTGTTTCTTTATCCTCTAATGTAAGATACATAGGAGGAACATCTAAAAATTTAAAAAGAAGTTAAATATTGTCACGTTATACGTGTTTTGTTATAAAGATTGTTACAATTTACGTGTTTCAAATAATTATGGGACTATCTATGTCCCGGGGGTTAAATAACAAAATATATGAATTTGGGCCTCAATCACATGAACACTATTTAGCCTTAAACTTGGCTTTGTAGCCCTTAACTGTATAAGGGTTCTGCTCCTGCTGTAAGAACCTAACACGTCTTCAAACAAGTGCTGAAGAAAACACAGTGTTCTCAAAACAAGTATAATGTAATTACAACGATTATATAAAATGTCGACATACACAAATACAGGCTCAATATAATAATAAGTACACATAAAACGTAGACTTACCAACTCATCAATATTTGGGGCACACGTCCCAACTCTTGCCCGACTAATAAAACGCAATTTTTCAAAATACAAAATAAAGACTTTTAAATTAGGCTATGAAGATCATGAACTGGAGCTGCTACTGGGATTCTCCTACAAGGGGGACCTCCTATGGCGAGGATCCGTTCCCTGTGAAAAAAAGCCCCGTGCATCCCATAGACATTACCTTTATAACTTTCTCATAGTTTATTATTATTAAAACTAATGTTTAATAATTATTAAATAACCAACCTTGCACATTATTGCTACTTAAAACAAATTGTTGACATAATTAAACAAAGTTTTATGTACAGGATGTTATTTAAATAATCAATTAAAATTAGGAAAAATATGAATTTATACGAATCGTGACAATATCTCGGAATCTTTCTTGGTAACAAGCTTAGCTTCTACAACCATATAGAAAAAAGAACAGAAAACGTTGTTAGGGCACTATGGGGCTGTCTATGGATGGTAGTGAGCACATGGAGCTCAATCCAAGTTTGATGCATGGGCTTTAGTACCCGTTGTAACCTACTCATCAGTCATATGGAGTTAGTTTTTATTGACCATCCGTTTATCATGAATAACAGACTTTCTTACTTGTCTTGTTCATGCCCTATATTATTTGAACTTTTTTGAAGAGGAGAGTGTACTTAACTTGAAAATACCGAAAGTACAGCTATCTGTTATTGTAGTAACCCCTTGATCCAAACGTTTATTTAAAACTTAGCGTGCTATTTAGCGCAGCGACCGAAGAATGTTTTCGCGCATTTCGCTCAAAATTTTAAAAACAGAAACATATAGCTTTAAAACTCATCTTTTTAATAATAGTGTTTCGGGTCGCAATAAAAGCTTGGAGGGCCACATGTTGAGTATGGCTAGTCTAAACTAACTGAATCATTCCATAACTGTTTACTGGTTTACGAGATAAAGTTGATTGCTGTTAAGTTTCAGGCTCACATGAATGTATCCAAAAGATTGGTCATGGTCACCTGTTACGATGTTATATACAGACTTTGAACGACCAGATTCAAATTTTTTCGTCGAACTACTAGACACGTGTCTATTTCTATTCTTCTATCAAATTGGTCAAAGCTTCCTGCTATGCATGTGAATATGCAAAATGGTATTTGTATCTCCGCAATGTCCTAGGATGTCGTATACTTCAATAGTCATATTCCGATCTAATAAAATCATTTCACGCACAGCATCGATTTGGACGATGTGGACAGTACACTAAGAAAAATCTTGACAGCCTTTGCCACGGAGTGTTAGGTAAGTGTGATCTTCACCTCTCACAAATAATGTTACTTTAGTGTTATATCCCTTTTTTACAGCTATAGAATATAACAGGAAATTAAATACATAATTTTGTTGTCAAAAGCCATTTTGTTGCGATTTTTTTAAAATTACAATAATATATTTTTTGTTTCAGGTCAAGAGACAATGCATTGTAGACTTTCAGTCCAATATAAACATAGTTTCGTTGAACTAGAGTGATTCTACATTTGGGTAGTGTCATATTCTGATTTATACTAAATCTTGTGTTATACTGACGAGTTCCTAGATTTATTTCTCTTGTTTTGATTGCGTGTAGCCACGATTGTTTATAAAATAAGTTTCTGATAGACAAAATGTTACAATGTTGAAAAAGATTCTCAGTCGGGTATCGAAAATCTAATTTAAAGATTAATTTTAATATTCGTTTCTGAATTATTTCTAATGGTCTCAAGGTTGTTGCACAAGCTACTCCCCAACTTATAATACCATAAGTTAATGAAGATTGCACTAAAGCATAATAGGTTGAAATCAGTTCGGATTCGCGCATTATCTTCGATATCGTTTTGAATATAGGTATATAATAATGATTATAGTTTTTTAATCATGTTGTTAATTTGGATATTCTACTTCAAGCAGCCGTCGATTGTTATTCCTAAATATTTGGCACTAGATGACTTTGTTAAAGACAGTGAGTCAGTTACTATAGGGTTTAAGCTACTAAGATCATTCTTAAAGTGTGAAAATGGTAGATAAATGGTTTTTTCTAAGTTGATAGTTAACAGATTTTCATCAAACCAATGTATTACTTTTTTAAGTCGGTTTTCAACCGAATTTCGACTTCCACCCACGTGCTACCTTCAACAATTAGTACAGTGTCATCAGCAAAAGAGATCACTGTGCCTTTTGTTTTTAAGGAGAGTAATTCATTCAAATATAAGATGAATAAGATAGGTTTTAGCACTGTTCCCTTTGGGACACCATATGTGATTTCTTTGGTTGTACTCCGTTGACCATTTACCTCTACCAATTGCATCCTATTAGCAAGAGCCTTTTAATAGCGTATGTGCATTCTCTTGGATTCCAATATTATAAAGTCTTGACAAAAGCCTTTGGTGGCTTATAGTATCGAATGCTTTCGCCAAGTCGATAAATATACATGCACACTTCTTACTCTCACCTGGCTTTCGGAATTTTTTTAGTAACACAAGCAATGGCATCATTTTGTTGATTTTTGTTCTCTAAATCCGAATTGCATGTTACTTAACAAATTATTTTTTTCAACAAAATTGGTAATTCTAGTTTTAAATGATTTTTCAAATATTTTTGCCACATTTGACTTATAAGCCTATAATTTTCAACTTTGGTTTTTTCCCCTTTTTTAAATATAGGTTTAATAACAGCTACTTTAAACTGTGACGGGCAGATACCCTGCTCAATCATTAAATTAATTAAATAAGTAAGAGGGGATGATATTTGATTTATTACTTCTTTAAGCAATTTTACGGTTATTCCATCTATCCCTGGAGATACACTTGTTTTTAAGGAGGATATGTTCTCTTTAATTTATAGTTCTGTGACCGGCTTTAGGAAAATTGTATTTTTATTGTATACCGTGGCGCAGTCAGTGAAAGCTTCCTTTTTATTATCAGTTATATGTTTTGCCAGGCTTTTTCTTACGTGTATGAATAGTCTATCTCTTTCTTTCATGGAATGGATTATTCCGTCAGTTATCCACTTTTTTTTTTTGGGTTTAATTTATATAAACTTATTTGTAGCCAATTCAAAATTATTAGTTTGGAATACTTCAGCAAAAGACTTATCATTTAAAGAAGTTCTTAGTTTATTATAATTAATGTTATTTTTAGTTACAAAATTAGGTTTGATTTTTATTTCTTTTTTATTTATTAATGGATTATTAATTTGAAGAATTGTAGGGCTGTGATCTATGATTTTTGTATTATGACTGGGATTAAAAGATTAGAGTCAATAAAATTACTCTTAAAAAAGATGTGATCTAAGCAACTTTTCGAGTTTTTTTCAATTCTGGTATAATCATTGATAGTAGACTTAAATCCTAATTCGTATAAAACATTTAGATATTCGTTTGCTTCTTCTGATGGGGTTAATATGTCGATATTTATGTCACCTACAATTACTTCTGTATCTTTTTGTAAATAGTTAGCTAATGAATTTATAAAGTCCTCAGTTTTAATATCATGAGGTTTATAAATACATGTAATTCCCATGGTTTTACTTTCAATATTTAAAAATACTCGTATACATTTAATGCCAGCAATATCGATAATGTGTGTCTCAAAATTATAATCATTATTAATATAAACTAAGACCCCGTCAGTAATGTTGACTATACCTT